GGACGCTTAACCAACTGAGCCACCCAGGCACCCCAAGATCCTTTCAATAGAGACTGAAATATAGTGATTTTCTACAACTTTTTTTAATTAGCTCAATTCTTCTGTAAGAGAAAGCTCTTTTACTTGTTCCCCTTTCATGCTTTTTGTCTTCCCTTTTTTTTCCTTATTTTAAAGTTTGTTTCTTTTTGAGAGGAAGGGGCAGCGAAGAGAAGGAGAGAATCCCAAGCAGGCTCCTCGCTGTCAGCACAGAGCCCAACAAGGGGCTCAGTCTCATGAACCACGAGATCATGACCTGAGCTGAAATCAAGAGTCAGGTTTATAACTAACTGGGCCACCCATGTACCCCTTTTTTTTACTTATTTTAAATACCCCTCAGGGCTCATGGATCTTAATTTTTTTTTCACTGTATTACAGTCAGTTATAGGCTTTATTCTCTTTGTCTTAAATTTGGCCAGGGTGTGCCCTTTCAGATAGCCTCCTATGTACTTAAAAAAATTTTTTTAATGTTTGTTTATTTTTTGTCAGAGAAAGAGAGATAGCGTGTGGGCAGGGAAGGGGCAGAGAGAGAGGGAGGCACAGAATCCTAAGCAAGTTCCAGGCTGTGAGCTGTCAGCACAGAGCCTGATGTGGGGCTTGAACTCACAAACTGTGAGATCCTGACCTCAGCCAAAGTCCAATGCTCAACTGACTGAACCACCCAGGTGTCCCCATATGTATTTTTGACATAAACTTTTCATTCTTTGAGTACTTCCTTGCTCTGTAATGCAGTAAAGTTACTCCAAGTTCACCTTGAATCTTCCTGTCCCAGACCTGTTGTCTGCTGTTTCTCCAGAGAGTTTCCTTTTAGTAGAGAATGTTATTTAGAAACCAAGGTTGGTGCTTGGTGTGCTTACTGATGCTGGGATGTCATTGCTCCTAGGCCCTTCTAATAGTCAGTAATAGAAAGCACATTAAGAAGGAAAAGTCATGGGGCACATGGGTGGCTCTGTTGAGCATCTGACTTTGGCTCAGATAATGATGTCACAGTTTGTGAATTTGAGCCCTACATCAGGCTCGCTGCTGTCAGTGCAGAGCCCGCTTCAGATCCTCTGTTCCCCCTTCTCTGCTCCTCCCCCACTTGCACTCTGCCAAAATAAGAATGACAAAAAAAGAAAAATCATGATTTCATCTTAGTATTTCCACTTAAAAGTTAACATTACAAGGGTTTTTTTTTCTTATATTTGTATCTCTTTTACTCTCAAGATACTGGTTTTCAATAACAGTATTGTAATAATATTGTTATTGGTTTCTAATAACATTATTTGCATTATTATATTATAAATGATATGAATGTTTTTGTGTCATTGATCCTTTCAGGAAAGGTGTTATGAACCCAACAATTTAAGCTCATAATATTCTAAGCTATTTAATGTGAACCTGTTGATTTTAGGGAGGGGTACTCTTCGGGGTAGAATTAGCCTCTAGTGCTAATTTGGATTGTTTAGGGATTATATCTGGGTTGGTTTGAATTGGTCATCAATAACAAGATAGTATTAGAGAGGAAGTATTGGCACCAGCAGGGAGGAATCACTTTTCTTTGTAAACCTGGTATAGTTTGATTTACATTAGGGACAGTATACCTAATACACCCTTCTTTACCCCATTTGGGGACCACTTCAGGCATAGATACGGTAAAATAAGTTGGGAAGTATGACCTAAGAACTGGGTGGGGGAGGGGTTGTATTGCTTCTGTATAGATTTTCGGTCTGTAGGTGTCCTTGATTGATTGTGTGCGTTGATGAGGCTATAGGCATGATGTATGGCGTATGCTTGTAGGCTGGTATAGCTAACCATTCTCTACCTGTGCTCCTATATTTACAGATGATTGTTTAGATTGGAGCAGTTCTCAACCTTGTCAGTTGGATTCTAGGCTCAGATAGTTAAAAGCAGGTTTTCCACCCACATAAGTGTTAGGCAGAAGTTTGAAAAGTTATACAGGATATAGCATTGTTGGGTGAGTCCCAACAGAATATCCAGCACTTCTGGTCCCTTCCTACTAATTGCCAGTTGTGCCCTCCACTCATCATGGCAGCTACACTCATACATTTCCACAGTGCCCTTGGGAACAGTCGCACTTGTAGAAAAACTCTCATTTGAATGGTCTGAGAGTTCCTTTTGTCCTCCAGATCCTGGTTGCTTAGTTACTCATGCTTAATTGGAAACAGTTGTCAGCCTCCTGCTGTGGCCTCGGTTAGGCTAGGGGCTAGTGTCCTGAATGTGCCAGATGATGTAGATGGAAAGAACAGGTCATGAGTACAACAGGATGGTGGAGAACCTTCACAGCCTGGCAGAGGAGTTCATAGTCTAGAAGGTTATAAGACGTGGATACCTTGATGAATATGTAGTACTGCTCAGTGACCTGCAGACTCATGGAATGAAGAGGGAATGATAGTGATTGAAGAAAAGTTGTTCTTTCCTGGGTTTTCCCACTTTTAAAAAAAAAATTTTTTTTTTAATGATTTATTTATTTCAGAGAGAGAGGGAGAAACAGAATCCAAAACAGCCTCCAGGCTCTGAGCTAGCTGTCAGCACAGAGCCCGACGTGGGGCTCAAACCCACGAACCGTGAGATCATGACCTGACCCAAAGTCGGACACTTAACCGACTGAACCACCCAGGCGCCCCGGGTTTTCCCACTTTGAAGTGGAGAGGAAGTGATAAGTGAAAAAATACATATATATTTCATCTCTCTAGTCATCAGATAAATGCTAGTTAAAATAAGCTGGTATCTTGCTCCTATCGAATTAGCCAAGACTTAAAAACTGAATTCTATCCATGATGATGAAAGGCAGCACATATTAAATGCCTTAAAAATGTCTCTACTGGGGGCGCCTGGGTGGCTTAGTCGGTTGAGTGTCCGGCTTCAATTCAGGTCATGATCTCACAGTTTGTGGGTTCGAGCCCCGTGTCGGGCTCTGTGCTGACAGCTAGCTCAGAGCTTGGAGCCTGCTTCAGATTCTGTGTCTCCCTCTCTCTCTGACCCTCCCCTGCTCACGCTCTGTCTCTCTCTGTCTCAAAAATAAAGTATAAAAAATTTAAGAAAAATGTCTCTACTGTTTGGGACACTGTACACCAGTCACTTTCCATTTCAGGGCATGCCACACATCTGACATAAGGCATGTGACTCCCTTCCGGGAGAAAGCTTGCCTTGCCCCTTGCTACTTGGGCAAACTTCTTTGAGTTTTCAGTGCAGTCACTTCATTTTATGGAAGCTCTCATGACTTTCCAGGCTAGCACGTACGTGCTCTGCCCCTCATCCCATTGTAATGTAAGTTTCAAGTATGTTTTCCTGTGTATTCTTATTCAGGGTGGACATTTTGAAAAACAAAAAAGTAAAGGGAACAGATTTAAAAGTTTTCTGCTCCCCACTAATAACATTCTGGTGTATTTTAACTTCTGTGTTTTTGCTTGTCAGCCTTCTAAGTTGACTAAGCTTCTCAATGGTATCCTCGCATATTGGCCATGAAGTGAACTGGGGGTTCTTAAGCAGTATGAAAAAAAAAGAGGAGTCAGGGATTTTTCTAACTTTTTTTTTTTTTGCTGTCATTTCTGTTTTCCCACCTCTTCTCCCTCCTCTCTTACCACAGGCTTGGAGACCTTGACCAAATCTTATGACTAACTTTTGGTGCCTTTTGGTTCATATTTGAGCCCAGCATTTTCGCTTTTAAGTATCTGTAGAGAAATGCTTAGTCATGGGCACAAAGAAAGCATGTACAAGAGATTTATTACCAGCTTTAAAGTATAGTAGGAAAAACTCAAAGCAATCTAAGTGCCCATCAGTAGGAGAATGATTACCTCAGTTGTGGCATATTCATATTTTGTATTATCGTCCAGCAGTTTAATAAAGGAAATCTACATACCCTAATGTGGAGCGGTCTCAGAGACATTTTAGTGAACTGAAATAGCGAGTATGGTTGATTTATGTATAATAAAATGTCCTGGGGGCGCCTGGTTGGCTCAGTTGGTTAAGTGTCCAACTCTTGATTTCAGCTCAGGTTATGATCTCACGGTTCATGGGCTTGAGCTCCCCATTGGAGCACCGATAGCACAGAGCCTGCTTGGGATTCTCTTTCTCTGCCCCTCTCTTGCTCACACGCACACATTGTCTCTCTAAATAAATAAATAAACTTAAATAAAATGTCCTAAAGCATTTGTATGTGTGTATAAATATGTGTATATTTATATCTGTATGTATGTATGTAGGTATGTAAATACCTAGAATGGAGTCCAGAAAGAAAACCACTAAACTGATTACCTGTGGTTGGGGGTGGGGGAGGTGTGACCAGAAGGAAGCCGATGGGAAATTGTGCTTCCTCTAAACTTTGTTGTTGTTTTGTTTTGTTTTGTTTTGTTTTTACAACCCCATCACTTTTCCCAGAGTCTGGACAGAAATGTGAAGCAGTTGTAAAAGTCGGTATTTAAAGTGCTTACCAGTATAGCCACAATCCCCCATGGAATTCTAAAGGGATATATTTAAGCTCAGAAAGGTTAAAATTAGACTTGCAGAAATTCTGTCCTGTAGTGTCTTGTCCTTGGGTGCGAGAAAGTGAAAGCGAAGCCATCTCTGGCGACAGGACCTGCAGAACTTGAGTTAGCTGTTAGTTTTAGTGTTTGATGCAGGCTTAGTTTTAGCTTTGCCATCCGATCTTACTGTTTTTTGGATTTGTTTAGATTTGAATTAAAATGATTGGTGAAGATAAGGTGTTTGAGAAAGGGATGATTCACATGGAGAACATTTAGACAGTTTGCCATTTGCAGACGACCAGATTAATCTTGAGAGGAGTCAGACTAGAAGTGATCCATGAAAAACATCAGATGTACTCATCAGCCTGAGAACTAAAGGTTATTGTTGTCAGATATATTTATGTGAGCTCTCTTGTTGGTTATGCGAACAAGTATGACTTTAGAAACCGTGTTATTATTGCTGCCTAACAAAACCTGAAACAAGACTAATCACGTTACCTGCTAGTTTCTGTGAGACATGAATTCAGACGAGGCACAGCAGTGACATCTTGTCCGTGATGACTGGGGCCTGAGCTAGAAGAGCAAAGGAGAATATGTTGGGGGAAAAAGTCCTGAGGATCTTTTTCTACCAGGCCTCCAGGACTCCATACTTGCTGATTTTTCTCCTGCGGCAGTGTCTTTGCTGATTCCTCCCTTAAGTTTGAATGTCCTGGAGTAGTCCTGTGTCTTTTCTTTCCTTGTCTGTCTTTTCATCTACTCCTTTTTTGTTTGTTTGTTTTATTTATTTCTGAGAGCGAGACAGCATGAGCAGAGGAGGGTCAGAGAGAGAGGGAGACACAGAATCTGAAGCAGGCTCCAGGCTCTGAGCTGGCTGTCAGCACAGAGCCCAACACGGGGCTCGAACCCACGAACCGTGAGATCATGACCTGAGCCGAAGTCGGACGCTTAACCAACTGAGCCACCCAGGCACCCCTCCATCTACTCCTTGGTGATCTGACCCAGTCTCAAGGTTTTGAATATGGTACGCGAGTAGTTGGGTCAGTGGGTAGGTAGGTAGATGGATGACCTATTCATCCTAAACCACAGCTCTCCTTAACCTGGCTACTTAGTATTTCTGTTCGGTTGTCCAGTTGGCCACTGGAACTTAATATATAGGAAGTTAAAACTGTGATTCCAGTACCTTCTCCCAAACTTGCTCCTTCAGCAGTCTTCCCCATCTCAGTAAATCTTAACTCCCTCCTTTCAGTTGCTTAAGCCAAAAAACTAAGAGTTTTCCTTGATTTCTTTCATTTCTTGCACCCAGTATTCCGTTTATCAGCCAATCCTGTTGACCCTACCTCCAGAATACATGCGTACTCAGAATCCAACCACTTCTTACCACCTCTGTCACCACCACCTTGGTCCACGTCACTGTTACCTCCTTCAGTTTTTACTTCCTTCAGTCTCCTTTCAACACTCCTGGTCAAATGATCCTGTTAAATGAAACCAGATTGCAACATATCACGTCACTTCCTAAGCTGAAGCCCTTAGAATGGCCTATGATCTGGCTTCCTCTGTGACCTCATCTCTCACTTCTCTCTTGCTCCCTGTGCTCCACCCATACTAGTAGCCCCCTACCTGCTCCTCTACAGCCAGGCCCTTTTCCCCCCAGGGCCTTTGAATTTTTTTTTTTAATGTTTATTTAGTTTTGAGACAGAGAGACAGAGCATGAGCAGGGGAGGAGCAGAGAGAGAGACACACACAGAATCTGAAGCAGGCCCCAGGCTCTGAGCTGTCAGCACAGAGCCCAATGCGGGGCTTGAATCCACGAACTGTGAGATCATGACCTGAGCTGAAGTCGGAAGCTTAACCGACTGAGCCACCCAGGCGCACCTCCCCTCAGGGCCTTTGTACTTGCTGTTTCTTCCGCATAATCACCATGGTCTTGACACAGTCTCTAGATACTGAATCTGGAGGAGAGGAACCATCCTGCTGGCTTTTCCATATGGGTTATATGTATGGTAATTGCCTGTTATTGGTGATGAAATATCATGTTATTAAGAATGGGAAATAACAGTTTCAAAAAAGATATAATCTGTACTGTAAGTAGCAGATCCATGCATTTATATCTGCCGTTTTTCCATCCATCCACCTGCCGCCATTCTTACTCATCTAGATCTTGCCACACTGAATCGTCCTGTCCTTCAGATGCGGTGGCAGTTATTGGAAGATCCCTTGAATGCCTCTAAAATGTTCATGCGGCTTGATTTCTGTTCCTCTTTAGTCCCTTTCGGGTTGAGGAGTGACTTGAGGGCGTGGGTGGGCCGGCTGGGAGGCCGTCTGAACAGCCTCTCTGTCAGTTGAGAGACCTAGTAGGGTTCCATGTCAGGCCCCAGAACAGATGGGGTTTGGGTTTCACAGTACGCCATAAACACACACAAAAGAGCTCTTGACTGTGGAGAGTGAGGCAGCTCAAGAAGGGGAGAGTATCGTTTTCAACCAAGAGCTCCTCTGTGACATGCTTTTGCTGAGATTTATGAGCGCTGGAAGGAAAGGCGATCAACTATTTATGGCTGTGTGAGCAGCAAAGTTCTGGGTGCAAAACCGAATGAGGACATCACTGAGAAGATCTCCAGACTTGAGAATCCCGGGGGAGTGTGCCTGTCTCTATAGGGACTATGATGCTAAGTAGAAATTATTTTTATGGAGTCACAGAATCACATTGTCGACAAGGACATCAGGGGGTTATCAGGTTTAAATCTGCACTTTTGGTCAAACAGAGCTAAACAGCTACACCGTTCTAGCCTTCGTTTTTTCCTTTTGAATATATATTTATAAAAAATACTAAATCTTATGTCATCTAAATGAGTAATTTCTTAAGGTCTAGTTTTTTTTAAATTACTTTTAATGCCATCCAACAATGAGATAACCACTACATACCTATTAGAAATAGAATAGCTAAAATAAAAACTGCATGATGGCATTTAGCATCCAATCAAGGGTGAGAAATATAAGTGTATTTGCTTGCTGCTTTCAAATCAGCTGTTCATCTCTGTTGGACCAGCTAAAAATATGCAGTATTCGGGGCGCCTGGGTGGCTCAGCCAATTAAGTGTCCGACTCTTGGTTTTGGCTCAGGTCATGACCTCACGGTTTGTGAGTTTGAGCCCCGAGTCAGGTTGTGCACTGACAGCATGGAGCCTGCTTGAGATTCATATTCTCTCTCTTTCTCTCTCTCTCTCTCTCTCTCTCTCTCTCTCTCCCTCCCTCCCCCCCCCCCACTTGGACTCTTGCTCTCTTTCTCAAAATAAGTAAATTTTTAAAAATAAGCAATATTAAATGTTCAGAAAGGGCAAGATCACCTTTATGGTGATATTTAACATTACTGAATTTTTTTGTCATTCAAACTGAAATTGCCAGTTCTGCCTTTAAAATAAAAGTTAGGTTACTGTTAAGAAAACCTCCTTTTTAAAGCTGGGCGTTCATGGGTGCCTGGGTGGCTCAGTCGGTTAAGTGTCTGACTTCAGCTCAGGTCATGATCTCACGGTTCTTGGGTTCTAGCCCCGCGTCGGGCTCTGTGCTGACAGCTCGGAGCCTGGAGCCTGTTTCAGATTCTGTGTCTCCCTCTCTCTCTGACCCCTCCCCTACTCATGCTGTCTCTGTCTCTCTCTCAAAAATAAATAAAACATTAAAAAATTTTTTAAAAAGAAAATAGAGCTGGGCCTTCAAACTGATTTTTCAGCTTCTCAGGTAGTCTAGAAGGCAGATTTATATAATACCCCTTCAGTAATTGCAAATGCAAAAAATAATTTAAGGTTCCATTTACATAAGCTTGCCTGCCCTCCAGAAGGTGTCCTGATTTATTCTCTCAGCAGCAGAGATAAGGAGGGCTTTAATACATTTGGTTTGTGCATGGGCTTTGGAACCAGTCACCTGTGTTCAGATCCTAGTGCCGCTGCTTTAAAATGTGGTGTTGGCAAATTACTTACCGTATCTAAGCACTGGTTTTCATGTCTCGAGCTTAGGAACCTGATAATACTTGCTTTAATGAGGAGACATTTAGTAAGAACTCAAATACTAACTATTACTAGTAAAGAGTAATTTGCACTGAATCACACAGCGGAACATAACTTACCACCCAAGAGTGTTTCTAGAAGCCCCGGGCTCTCACCTCCTGGTCTCCTCCTCCACTCTATTACTCTAATCAGGAGGATCCTAGTAAGGTTTATGAACTGTATGAGCATTATAGGTTCCTTTCAATACATAGTTAGGGGAAAAAAAACTAGAGTTACATTTTTGGCATTGGGTTCATTTAATTTTTTGCTTTTTTAAAAAATTCATGGGGCGCCTCGGTGGCTTAGTCGGTTAAGCGTCCGACTTTCGCTCAGGTCATGATCTCACGGTTCGTGGGTTCGAGCCCCGCGTCGGGCTCTGTGCTGACTGCCAGCTCAGAGCCTGGAGCCTGTTTCAGTCTGTGACTCCCTCTCTCTCTGACCCTCCCCTGCTCACGCTGTCTCTCTCTCTCTCTCTCTCTCCTAGAAATAAATAAAAAACATTAAAAAAAAAATTCATGTAATTATTTTATTTTATTTTATGTTTTATTTATTTCTAGGGGAGAGAGAGAGAGAAAGAGAGACAGCGTGAGCAGGGGAGGGTCAGAGAGAGAGGGAGTCACAGATTCTGAAACAGGCTCCAGGCTCTGGGCTGGCAATCAGCACAGAGCCTGACGCGGGGCTCGAACCCACGAACCGCGAGATCATGACCTAAGTGAAAGTCGGACGCTTAACCGACTAAGCCACCCAGGCGTCCCTGTAATTATTTTAAAATGCTGCCACTACCACCTTGCAGTGTCTTCTGTAGCATATTTTGTTAAGTCTCAGAAAGATTGAAATAGATAGGGGAGTACCTTACTTTTGGATTCTAAAGTGATTATTTTTTTCCTGAAAACTTTTGGGTTTGACATTTTTTCCCAGTATTACACAAATTTTCAAACACACTGCCTTATTAAAAGAAATTTATTATTAAAAATTTTATTATAAACACCCACATGCCCATCACCTAGATTCTACCATTAGTACTTTATTGGACTTGCTTTATCATGTAATCTATACCTGTCACGGAAATCTTAAGAAATAACCAGTACGCAACAACAAGTCATTTATATTGCCGTCACCTAATGATAACCTTTGTTAACATTTTAGTAATTTCATACATGCTTACAAATCGGTAAGTGTGTGTGTTTAGCCATTTCATTAGTTTATTATACTGTGGACACACACTCTTCTGTGGTAACAGGCATATATAGGAGCAGTTCTTTTGAAAGACCTGTTGTGAGTATATGTATAAATATCCCATCATTTGGGGTGCCTGGGTGGCTCAGCCAGTTGAGCGTCAAACTCTTGATTTCAGCTCAGGTGATGATCTCAGGACCATGGGATCAAGCCCCAGGTAGAGCTCCGTACTGGGCATGGAGCCTGCTTAAGATTCTCTCCCTCCCTCTCAAAAAAAATTTTGTTTTAATGATATAGTTAGAATATCTTTTGGTTGAACATTTAGTTTGATCCTAATCTTTCATTATTCTAGACAGCATTGAGAAGAATAGCAAATACCTCTGGGTTTTTTATTTTATTTTTTTGTATTCAGTTATTTCTTTAGTATCAATTTCTTGAGGCAGAATTGTTGGTAATATGCTTAAGTTTTGTGTTGAATTGTCCAGTTGCTCTCTAGGAAGAGTACCTGTTTACAGCCCATCTCCATGAACATGCCAGTTTCTCCTACATATTTGCAAGGTATTTTTCTTTATTATCTTAGCCACTTTGAGAGATAAAAATTGTTTCTTATTCTGCTGATTTCCAAATTTAATTTGAGAAACAATAAACACCTTTAAATAACTCTAGAGTCCAAGGGAAAATCAAAAGTGCAATCTCAGATGATTGAGTAATTATAACAAAAATGGTGGAAAGTGGCCTATAAAATTCTCTAGAGGGATTTATTAAGAAAATCTTTTTGGGGCGCCTGGGTGGTTTAGTGGGTTAAATGTCCAACTTCGGCTCACGTCATAATATCCCAGTTTGTGGGTTCTAGCCCCGCGTTGGACTCTGTGCTGACAGCTCAGAGCCTGTGGGGCCTGCTTCGGATTCTGTTGTCTCTCTCTCTCTCAAAAATAAGTAAACATTAAAAAAAATTTTTTTAAAGAAAATCTTTTTGCCAAGCATATGTCAGGTTTTATAAACATTTCATTTTAAAACAGAGGTTCTATAATTTTTGTTCATACATACAGACAGACTTTTTATTGTTCATAGGTTTAAGCTATCAAATTTCGAGATGTTATCTTTCTTTGTAATTGTGATTTTTGTTTCTCCTTATATTTTGCTTTCTGTTTTTCTTTGTTTATGTAATTCAGCATAAAGAATGATGATTGTTTTATTTCCATAATGGATCATATCATATCAGCATAAAATTAC